CAGCCAAAGAATCAGACGAGAGAAGTCTACAAACTATGGAGATGAGAATGCTGAGGATGATTGCTGGGGTAACAAAAAAGGATAAGGTGTGAAGTACAAGAATACTAGGAAGTTTAAAGGTGGTGCCCATTAAGACTAAGATAATGGTAAACAGACTTAGGTGGTATGGGCATACAATGAGAAGGCGAACTACATAGGAAATAAGGTTGGGAGTTTGGAAGTGATGGGTAAACGTAAAAGAGGAAGGCCAAAACTTCAATGAGGCCATAAAGTTAGAGCCAATATGAAGAAGTATAAATTAGAGAAAAGAGATAGTGTGAATAACATAAAGTGGAGAGAGATATTGAAGGAGTTTACCACCAGAATAGGTGAAAGCTAAAGAGGAAAAAACAAATATGGACATAAAATTTATTAGATTTAGTTAGTTGTATTTTTAAGTTAATAAAATCAAAATAAATTTAGTTTTGTTTATTGTTATCTTATTTTGGAGGAATAAAATATTTTGGGATATTTCAATGAAACTGATATCAGGACTACATATAGAGGAGGTCATTATGTTAAGCGGTGACCTAAACCGACATTTTGGAGAGAAAATTGAGGGATATGAAGGAGTCTATGGAGGATTTAGTTTTGGAATGAGGGTTAGGTAAAGAATACTAAATTTGGTATGGAAATGGTTGTGTAACATTTTCTTTCTGGTTGTGTAAAAAGTAGGTGGATTATTTGTTGGTGAGGAAAATAGATCGAGGCATAGTGAAAAATGTGAAGGTGATATCGGGAAAGAAGTAACTCTAGCAACATCGTTTAGTTATAGGGGACTTATAGTCAAAGATATAAGAAAAAGTAAGAGAAAGTATGTCCCAAAATTAAAATTTTAGAAGTTAAAAGAGATTTCAAGATAAGTAATAAGTGGGAATGATCAAAAACTTTGTTGAAGGCAACGGAAGAGATCTGTGGTTGAGAAAGGGCCCGGTGAGACATAAAGAGACGTGATGGAACCTTGATATAGCCAAGACAATTGATGAGGAAAAATAGATGTTGAAGGTAATACATAAAAACTGACATGACATGGAAAAATCTATGATAGCAAAAAAATATTTAAAAAATAGTTGCGAAAACGCAAACAAATAAAAGGTTGGAGAGTCTTATGGAAAGATTATTTAATGAAGAGAATGAATGGGAAAGGCATAGCTGTAGATTTAATAAAGATGAAATTAGCATTAAAGCGTATGTAGAAAAATAAAGCCGTGAGTCCTATGATAGTTGTGAAAAAAATTCAGGCATCTAAAGACCTGGGAATCAAGTCTCTCACCGATGCGTGCAACCTGATTATTATTGAAGGAACTACTCTGATGATGAGCGAAAAAGTGTGATAAACCTTCTAAATTTTGAATGATACAGAGCAATCAAACTTTTGGAACATGCAATGAAGGTTTTCGAGAGTGCTAGAAATAAGAATAAGGAACCAAATGAAATTGAATGATAAACAGTTAGGTTTTACATGTGGGAAGGGTACTACTGACACTATTTCTGTTAAGGGGCAAATTTAGGAAAGATACCAAGAGAAGGGAAAGTTTATTTATTGTTTACTCATAGTCATTTAACTGAGTGCTCCTTGAGGTTACAAAATGAGTTAAGAAATGAGGCGTTGACGAATGGCTAATAACCGTAAGGCGCGAATAATAGTTCAAATAAATAATGTATATAGTTTCGAGGTAACATCTTAGGTCTGTTACTTTTATAATAATGAATATAGTCACTGGAGGGACTGTAAGACTTCCATAGGAAATATTGTATGCCGACGACTTAGAAAAAGTAAGACTGATTTGAAGAATAAATAGCTAGATGAAGAAGGGTTATTGAAGAAAAGGGATTAAAAATGAATATTAAAAAAAGGTGATGTTTGGAGGTGAAGGTTTATAAAAGGATCAGGGAAATAGGCATGTGGGCATGCGATTTATTTAGGAAAGGCGTTGCTGGAAACTCCATTAATTGTGCCTGGAGTCGTCAATGGCTTTACAATAGGTGTAGTGGTGTAAGGGGAAACCTGCTGAAGGCAAGCGTGTTGTTTGTAAAAAATGTGTAAAAGAAGTGTAAGACCATTGCAATTGACTGGTTTTATTTTGGAAATGGAATAGTTTAGAAAAGGTTGGAGATGATACACTTAGCGTTGACTTGGCATTGTTGGCAAGGATATAATATGCTTGGAAGAAATTTTGATAGTTGTCTTCAGAAAAGTTTATGCCAGCTGTGTGAGAAGTTGTTTGATGTATGACAGCGAGACATGGGCAATAAAGGCGACTAACGAAGCCAAGTTAAAAAGAATAAAGATGAGAATGGTCAGATGAAATGCGGAGAATCTCTAATAGTGCGCACAAATTGAGCGTTGTTAATGCTTTTTTAATTTTGCGCTAAAATTTGAAAATGGATATAAAATTAAGTATAATTTATCTCATTTATTAATTGATATTATATCATTTATAATATATTAATCGATATTTATATAATTTTAGAATATATTAATTTATATTTTAGATCATTTTAAAATATATTTAAATAATTTTAGAATATATTTATATAATTTTAGAATATATTAATTGATATTATTATTAGAATAGGTTTTTGATGGTTTATCAACCATTAGTTTAAGGTAAATGTATATATGAACAGTGATAAATTATATTTTATATAGCATGGAGAGTTTCCACATCATGATACAACTGTATCATGCTTATAAAAGTAGTTGAATATGAATATATAAAATTCATGAAGCAATGATAAAGGACAGAAAAATTAGTGACAATTTTAGTCCTAAAGAAACTACACCAAAGGCTACTGGTTAAAAAATAAATGCACTCATGGGTAAAAGACTTTTGGCTCTTTTGGAAAGAGTGCCATCTGAAAGCCAGTAAAATTTATATTTTTATCTATAAATTTAATATTATTTTAGATTGTATCTACAATCAATGGCAGAAGGCTTGGAAAGTATGAGCCATTCAAATAAATACTTTTTCAAATGTGAAGTATTAAGATTGTATCATACTTTGAGCAATCAAAGGATCAAAATACTACATTATCACCAAAAAATTCAACAGAAACAACTTTAAATCAAACATCAAATTTTATCTTAGTGTGTTTATTTTTGTAAATATGTTTAATTATATATATAATAAAGTAATATTCCATATTATAGTGTCCATTTTTGAAAAATATATATAAATAAGCAAACTACTCAAAATTTATTTATCATTTTTATTAAAATATATAGATTATTATAAATATATTAAGGAAGGATAAACAAATAAATATTATAATAATCAAAATATGAAAGAAAGAGATTGAGTAAACATTTATGAAAATCCAATAAGTAAAAATACAAGAGGTAACATGATTGAGAGAAGTGTACAATTAAGATTTAATAGTGTATATATATTATAAAATTTGACACAATAATTAATTATTGAGATCAAAATTTGAAGCCTTTCTAGGATTTTAATTCATTGACATATAATTTAGCCAATATTATCTTTATAAATTAAATATTATGAAAAGAATAATAGTGTTTGCTTTTTTAAGATATTGACTATTAATATAGAAAATTTATGTTTTATTGAGCTAACAATATTTTATTTTGACATCACTTTATGTGATTGACCAATTAAATAAAATTGGGCAAAGCTTCTGGCTTCAAACTCAAATACAGATGGTATGATTATATTATTTTAATAAGATATTTAATTCTCTTACATGTTCTAGTGTACATTTTTATTATTAAAGAATTGAAAATGTAATTAAATTATTTTATTTGCATTATTTGTAAATTATAAGTATATGTTCTCCTCATCCTTGTATAATTAAAATAAGCAATTAGTTGTTAATCTATTAAACTAAAGAAATCCATATTGTTTAATAAAAATTAAATCATCAATTTTAAAACAAGGAAAAAACGTACTGCTCTCAATTTAAACAAAGATGCGTTGCGTTATAAAACGTACTGCAAACGCAAATTCTCAATTTGTGCGCACTATAAGAAAAAAAATAAGCTAGGAACTTAGAGAAAGGATTGGGATAGAAGCAATAGGTGATGTCTCGAGAATAAATAGACTGAGATGGTTTGGAGATGTTGAACGGAAGGCAAAGGATGATTGGTTGAAGAGATGCCGTTGGTTAGATGTGGAGAACGAGACCCAGAGTGCGACCGAGGATGAAAGTGTTAGATAATGACTTAAAAAGTTAAGTTTGACCCGGGGCGATGCCCAGGACAGTGTAAAATAGAGAAAGGCGATTAGAAAGGAAAATGGCCTAGAAAGATAAACCTGGAAAAGGGCCACTGAACAACGAAGAAGAATGTAAATATAATTATATCTATTATAGATCAAAAAATCCTGCGACAATCAGTACTATATAAGGGATTGCTAATTGGAATACCATTTCATTTCCGCCTATTTTAATTAATATACATTGGAAAAAATTAAAATGACGATTATAAGTATTGTCACCCTTTTGAATTACATTACTATTGAATTTCCACTAAACAGATATAAATATTCATTTTTACTTATTTTCATTAAAAAACAGTTGAAAAGTTTTAAAATGATGATTATGACATACATTTCTTATCTTTCAAAAGGAAAATTAGAATGAGAGAAATCTTTATTTTCTAATATTAATTAAATTACTTTTATTCCTAAATAGAATATAAACATTCAAAAAATCTCCAATATTCATTATCAATTATTTACAATATTTTAGCCAAATTGAGGTTTAATTGAGCCAATCAAAATCGCTTAATCAATAAAATTCAGCTTAAGCTTAACCAATCAAAATCGGCCTTGTCTATTAACCGACTTAACCAAAAATGATCAGCGAAGGCTAATCTAAAATAATCGGCTTAGGTTTAGCCTTAGCCAACAAAAATCGGCTATTACTCATCTATACTAAAATGATATTAAGCTTTTCTAAGGCAACCTAAAAAAAATCAAATTTTTTAAAATATAAACCTAGTCTATTTGATATGATGCTTTTGTATTTAAATTTTTTAGAAGAAATGGCTGCATCGGCGCTTTGAGGAATATTACTCTGATCCAAAAAATAGATGGGCGAAGAATTAAATTGTTTAGAATTCTTTGACTGGGGAACTTTGCCTTAACATTATGTTATATAAAACTTAAATATAAATTGGTCATTTATTTAAGTTAAATTCTTGTATATTAACCGGCTCTACATGAGCGGAGAGGGGGGGGGGGGTGTATAATTTGCTTCTAATTATTTAAGGGAATAGGGGGTCGGCATCTAAGAAGTGGGGGTAGGCTAGAGGTAAAATAAATTTATTAGGGGGTAATCTATTAAATATTTAGATGAAATAGAGCAAGAGTATTGCTAAAAATGATACTTTTATTATAGACCTATAATAATGCAATGATATTGCCAAACACAAATCATATATTGTATACAATCATAGACCTAAACAATAAACTATAACTAGTGTTGTTAAACAACCCAATTTGAGCCGATTTAATATTTTGTCCAGAAAAATATTACGCGAGCCTAAAGATTTTGATCATAGTTAGCACAAATGTTGGTACATCTATTCGCGAAATCTCGAGACTTAGGCAATTTTTTTTGAGGCTAAAATATCGAGTTAGCTATTTTTAAAAATCGGCTCAAATATAGCCATTTAACAACACTATAATAATGAATTCATTAAAAATAAGAAGTTTTTAATTGAATTCATTGTATAAAAATAACTCTTTACATTCACAATATTTAGTAGCATTAATAATGCAAGTCAGAGACCTGCAGAGATTTACACTGCCCGGCCTGTATTTTCTTTGAAAAAATCTTTTCGCCCAGGCACGGTTTTATATTTACAGCCCTGGCCCGGCCCAGATTTTTAAAATTTTTCAGGCCAAGCCTGGATTTTTTTAATTTATAATTTTATAGCTAATAATGGCGATTTAAAATCTTTGGTTTTAAAATATACGACCCAGCCCATGTATAAAAATTTTTCAGGCCCGACCCGAGTTATATAAAAAAAAATCAGGCCCGCTAGGTATATTTAAAAAATTAAAATACAGCTAGGTCCGTATATCCGGACCCGACTTAGGGGTGGGCCTGCAGGTCTCTGATACAAGTTATTATTTCTAAAACTTATGAAAGGAATTCAGATATTGGGATTGGCAATATAATGGCCATTGATAGAATTATATTATTCCATATAGAGGGTTTATTTATTAGTAAATGGACTCTACAATTGATAGGTCACTGTCAACATTATAAATTTTATCACATTCATATTAGATGAATTTCAATTTACCGTGCAATACAGACATTTAGCCATAAATATGATTGTGAATTTTAACAATAATATTCATCTTCACCCTAAATCTGATAAAAAAAAAATTCCCATTTGCAAGATGGGACAACCACCGTATCTATATTTTACCATTTCAGATGGAGGGATTAATGTTTTGCAAAATATTTATATATATAAACAATGTAATTTCTGTCATCAGTTCCATCCATTGCGCCCTCAAAAGAAGGAATATTTACAATACAATTCTAATTTCAATAACATATTTTCAAGCTATCTATTACTTGATAATGAAAAGGATTATTAACCATACAACTGTTAATTTTAATAACATATTTATTTTCAAAATGCCAATTCTAACAAATTTAAATAATAACTATACCGAAACCCTACAAATAAACAGCTCATTTGGTATACCACTAATACATTTTATTAGCCTACCAGACCTCAGCACAGCACATTATGTAACTCCCATTGTGTAGTAAACTTATTAAAGTAACCAAATTGGAGCTACTGATATCTCATCGAAAATTAAGTGGCCATAATCTTGGGTCCAATCTTATCACCAGCCATGTTCGAACCTTTAACGCCTTCTCTGCCCTGCCCTCAATGCAACTAAACAACCCATAGTCACCATTCTCACCTTATTAGCTGATGTGTTTACTAGCTCAACAGTCCCTATGTCCACTGTGGTGCAAATATTTCCACGTTTGATTCAGCCGACTCCTCAGATGTAAAAATATTTTTAGCGACACCAGAACCAATTGTCATTTCACGAATACTCAGGGGGGCAAAATTTCAAGTTGCGAGCCACCTGTCGAATAACTTGATTTCCTTGATAAGTAATTATTCTTCTGAAAAACACTGGCTAGACACCCTGTCATTTTACTACCCTACAAGATACCGATCTTGCCAGTAACAAATCCCTGACACAGCAAATTAAGGATGATACTCCTTACCCATTAAGCACATTTCCACATCCTTTAAGGGTGATGACATGGATAAAAATAATAATCACAAAAATGACCTGCTGACCAAGGCCAGGTTAATATCTAAAAACTAGATAACTTAAATGTAAAATCCTACCTGGCATCTTCTGACAGCAGGTAGGCTCCATACGACCAAGCAACTTATCAAGCTCTTCTCCTAAAACACCGCTATTACCTTGGAGCACTCTAATTGCAGCAATATACCTCAAACGACGTTTGAAAGGTTATTCACTCCTTCAAAAGCGCTTCCTCACCTGAGTTTAATGGGTTTCGCCCAATATTCCTACAGGATCTAATCGCGTGAATATCCTGTCATGTAGACGCGGATCTTAACGCTCATTTAATAAAATTTCTTCAATCCAATTATATCAAAACTTATCAATTTCTTGTTTGCGCTCATTTTTGAATTAGGGGTAAAATAGACTACACCTTTAAAGTTTAAGTGATTTTTTTAACGAAAAGTTAAATCGAAATATAGTATTAAAATTTATACATGAAATATAGTATTAAATAACGCAATTTTATTCATTAAATTGAAAAATATTATTGAAATTTCATACAGTCATTTATAAAATGAATAAAAATATCAAAACGATTTAACAATCGATATTTTCTAAAATATCTATATTCTAGTAGATATTCATGTTATCCCTATCCTTTTATAGTTAGCTTATAGATCCAGCCAAAGCCTTTCGATTACTTGGGTGCTGATTGATCTGTCATTTGGATCAATAAAATTTTGCGAATGATCGACCCGATAGTAGAAATAATTGGTTTGTTCTAACCCATTATATCTTAGATAAATAGATTTAAATTTATTACCACTTTTGGTCTACAGAAAAAATATATTTACATACCTTAACCACGAGTCAGTCATTATCGTCGAATCTGCATTACATTATCTTTAGCAACAAGCAGTGTGGTATCTTGATCCCTTGTTGTTGTAGCAGTTAGAAATAAATCATTTGTCTCTAGACATATGCCACCAATAAATTCTCTTAATCCACCCCCCCCCCCCCATATATAAACGCGGCGGAATTAAGAATTCCTATATTTTACCCCTAATACAAAATTTTGTAGAAAAAACTTTTTTAAAATATCTTAATAAAAATTTGTAAAAAAAACTATTTTAAAATATCTTAAATAAAAAATTAAATTTGTAGGCAAAATTCTCCTATCCCCCTCCATCAGAATTAAGAATTCCTATATTTTACCCCTAATACCATATTTTGTAGAAAAAACTTGCGGAATTAAGAATTCCTATATTTTATCATTAATACAAAATTTTATAGAAAAAGCTTTTTAAAAATAAAAATTTGTAGAAAAAACCTTTTTAAAATATCTAAAATAAAAATATGTAGTAAAAACTTTTTTTAAATATCTTAAATAAAAAATTGATATATTAATTTCAAATAAAATAACAAAAAAAATTATAAAAAAAAATATCATAAAAAAAATAAAATAAAAGTGGCGATAACCCATTTTATTCAAATATTGAATTTGTTTTTTTATTTGTTTAAATTATTACTTTATATTAATTATGGTGCTTATGACATGCTGTAAATGAAAAAAACAGACAAAGTTAGAAGGATCTTTTTTGAGGTAATGTTTCTCTCTCAATTTGCCTAATAAATCATATAAGTAATCAAGTTTCAACAAAGTATTTATTTATTTATACTTTTTCGCAATCCCCTCCTATATTGGTAAAGTTTGGCTTTAAATCTAGGAGAAAATTAATTCCTTATATCAAACATGTCAGCCACTTATTTTTCTTATCTTGAGGCAAATGATGTATGGGTTGCCAAGTTATAGCTCTGCTGTTTCGTATTATATACATAAATTTATGTATTTCAATTATTATATAAAAAATAAAGTAAAATAGTTGATGCGGCATAAAAATTAATTTTAGATGTTTTAGTGTATTTAATATTTTCTTAAAATGAATAAGTTATTTTAAAAACTAAAATATTATTCATAAAATTATTAGACTAGAGTGGAAAAGTTAAATATAATTTATACTTGTTTTAAAAATATACATGTGAGCTATCTAAGAGTTCTGGAGCCCACTCATGTGGCTCAGTGAGAGGAATTTCCAACAGGAGACAAAATGGATATATACATCACAAGGTAAAATAACTTAACTTTGTTGATATTGAAGATAGAAATAATAGTCAACTAAAGCAATTGAAAGATGGTAGTTAGACCTAAAACAATATTTAAAAAATCAGGGACCGGCCAGCCCTGAATATATAAAGTCCGAACCATGTAGAAAATATTTTATAAAAATACGAGCCAGGAGAAATTTTTTTTTAAAAAAAAAATCCGAATGTTAAAAATACCGCTGTAGGTCTCTGATTTAATAAGGTCATATATAAAAAATAAAAAAATAATTAATATTAATAAAACCATTAAAAATGCTAAAAAACCATAAACAATGCTTAATATTAATAAAATCACCTATAAAAATGTATATATAAAATTCATAAAAAAATATTTAAAATTAATAAAACCTAAAAATGTTTACATAAAATTAAAAATAATTTATTATTTACATCAATTCTATGAATTTATAAAGAAATAAAATGCCATAAAAAAATAATAAATCTAAAATAAAATAAAAAAAATCTTTGAGCAATCTTCCCAAAAAAAATCCAAAATGATTTCACAAGCAATTGAAAGATAGTGGTGGCATTAAAACAACATTTCATGAAAACGGGGAACATTGAGTTAATGAAGGATTATTTATCATAATATTTATGGATTAAAAGAAAAAAATGATTTGTATTTTAATATATGTAAAAAAAAATAATTTTTTAAATAAAAAATATAAAAACAAAAGAAA